AGAACACTCGGGATCGTCTTTGACCTGCAAAACGAACGAGCTGCCACAGGTCATTGGGGTGTCGGCCGGAGGCATTCCGATACTTAAGTCAGTAATCACAGGACAGAGTATATTTAATTTATCAAAGAAAGTGTGTATACCTTAAACTTAAACTTCTCTCGGTATTTATAGGGAGTCAGTGCCTAATTATTTAGGACTAGAGCCCTGGTTGGAATGTGGTGGCACACCTAGATTGCAGCCAAACCTTCCTTAACTCGTGTTTGAACCCTTCTAGATTTTCTTTTCCATTAGTCGATTTTTTAGGTCAAATGGTTCTAATGTGCACTATCAATCCTTATTGGCTGCCTAGCACCACTCATGGTTATTCGGGATAGCCTATCTATCTCTTTGATTAGTCTTTCATCAATGCCTAGATTTCATTCTATCAACCATCTCAGGTTTCTAGAGATGACCCAGCTATTTGCTCCAAGGTTCGAAGTATCGGCCGAGTCGGATACGACTCGACCGAGTTGTATCCACCTCGGCCATCACCGCGCTGATACCACTGCACTGTAAGTGAATAATATGAGACTCAAGAGAATCAGCGTTGACTCGGTCACGATTTAGAAATATCGGTTGAAATCGGAGTCGAATTGTTTCAATCGAACCGTGTCTTACTGAGTCTTATCGAGTTATACCGAGTCATCAATAGATCAATGTAAAAAACCAGAAAAAAGAGATGTGGAAAAGAAGAAGATCAATTCCACATGTAGATTCCCAGACTTAAAGATGTAGAAACCAAAGTAGAAGAAATCAAAAAACCTAAAACAAAAATTGAAAGGATTTGGAGAAAAACCTGTAGATCATGTACAGTTACATACAGCGGCTATAGTACAGGCTATACTGTACAACCCCTTCTTCTCCATTCGAGCGTTACAGCAACACTACAACCCTTTCTTCTCCATTTGAGCATTACAGCAGCACTACAACCCTTTCTTCTCCATTTGAGCGTCAGAGCAGCAACCCCTCTATTTTTCTTTGCATAAGCAACGTCGACAGTAAGTGGATAAGCTCTCTCTCTCTCTTGTCGTCGCCACTACTGCCACTGCTTAAGAGATTTTGTGTCTTGGTCTAAGTCTCTCAATTGATTGAACAATAAGAGTGTCGGATTTTAATAAAATTATATTCTACTAATTATATACATATAAAAGAGATTTTACAATTAAAAACATAATGCATATGTAATTTATAAGTAAGATAAAATTTCTCAAAAAAATTTATATGTTCTAAAAAAAAAGTTAACATAATATTTTTTTGTATTTTTTTTAACTTTTTTGACTATGTATATATAAGTATTAAAGTTATATTAGATCTAGATTTATCATTATGATGAAAATAACTTACCCGGTTTGTATAGTTAACCTAGAGACAATAATTACGATTTAAATCTTATCTATTTAGGACAAATGATGCACGAATTATGTTGTTTATATATTTTTTAGATTCTTTTTAATTTTATTAGAATTGTTTGGACTTTCTATCAAGCATTTTACGCGTATCGTCCGATACCATACCGCAACCGATGTATATCAATGTCCTTTGAGTTANTAAGATAATAAATACCTCATGATTATTATGATTGCTTATGTTCTTAATCCCAAAATATTTAATTGTCACGTGTATATAATATTTGTCACTTTAATTCGTCGAAGAGTGAGATTCATATTGGGTCAAGAAGCTCGATGAATTGAGAAACAATATTATTTGTATGGTGAAAATTAAATATTAAAGAAAACTACGTCCTAGAATTTAAATGGGTTGATAATGTCCTCTTGAGGAAGCTCATAAGTTTTGTCCATGTCAAACCTTGCAAGTGGATTTAATTATCCGACATGACAAATAATTTGAGTGGTAAGATCTTAAGGAATAAAAGAAGTCAATTAAATATAATTGTCAATGATTTTTTTAATTGATGGACATTTGTAGTCTTAAACGTAGGGAGATTATTAAGCATATAATAATAAGGAGCTTGAATATAATTTTGAAATAAGGCTCAGGAGATCAATAATAAGTCTTTAGTGGACTGAATTATTATTAATGGGTTGTAGGATGTTTGTTTTAGGTTGAACATAGGAATCCTAAGTTCATTGGAAGCCCGATTCTTATTTCTCTTTAGGGTCTCTGTCGTAGTCTATATATAGACATCTAGGTTCTCTATTTTAGCATCTTATCTTTATTCACATTTTTTAGGGAGGCTGAAAGAGAGAACAAGGATTCGAAGGTCTAAGCAACCCAAACTGCATTCGAATTCTAACATTGAGGGATATACGATAGAAGGCCGCGAGGTTCGTCGAGCTGTAGTCATTGTTTTGTTCTGCGTTCGTGCTGAGACAAGATCAGTCCCGAGAGATCTTGAAGATAAACCCTAATTCCGTCTTGTAAGGGTTTTAAAGAAAATTTTTTGATATTCGATACATACGCGCTGTTAACAGCTCTTGGGATTTCTGTTCCAACAGTTCCCAAGGAGTATAAAGAAAGAATATGACATAAAATAAAGGTGCAAAGTTTTTGAATTTATTTTATATTTACTAAGTGATTGTATATAGTTTTTGCATGTTATTAGTGGTTTTGGAATGGAATCATTGGCAAGTACGGATGTAAAAGAGTGGATGAAAGGATATCTAATGAAGTCTGTAAGGAGGAAGTGGAAAGACTAGAAGTGTGAGATTAATTGACTAGCTTACCAACTATATAGAACTGATGCGAAAAGATTAACTCACAACCCAGATTGAGTGGAGGAATCATATTGGCGGGCCTTGATCTATTATTGGAGTTCTCCAAAGCACAGATACAAATATGCAAGTGTAAATCTTGTCAATTGTAAAAGAAGTCATTGCTCTTTTTCTTTAAATTTGTATGATAAATACTTTTGGCGTGTAATAGGAAAAAAGTGGGAGGAACAAACACATTCGAATCAAGAAGAAATTTTATCACACCATTAGCCGAACAAGCTTTGCATGTGTTATGGAAAGGGTTTGTTAGAAAACAAGAGTGTTTCTAAAGGCTTTTGTTCAAGTTTATTTGTTGTGTCTGTTTTAATTGTAGGAAAAGAAAAAGAATAATGAGGAGAAAATGAGTCGAATTTAATTTTTTAAGGTTGCCTATTCAAAGAAAGATGATCAACCAGTTAATGATGTTGTTGCACAAGCCTTGGAATGTAATTTTGGTAGGACAAATGTTTACGATTTATCCATTCTTATTTCGTCTATGTTTCATATTTATTTAAAATTACTTTTTCTACAGTTAGACATCGATGAACTTGTGTCACAAATACCAAAGTCTTGCAGGCAATCTTTATTTGCAATAGATGAAGTTTTCACTCAAGTAATGGGACCAGAGCGACCTGGACGTGTTAGGANGTGTAGAATTCGACTTATGCACAGAAAACCAAATTATCGGATCCTTGTATAATATGAATATTCTAGTCATAACTCGTACCTGAAGGGACGATGAAATAAAAGATTCGAGCATTTAAAAAATTAATTCCACTATACTAAATAGCAATTTTGTATTTATTTGTTTCTTTGATTACATCATTTAATATAAATTTTTACCTATTATATTTTTAAAAAGTGTCAATTTTTTCAAAATACATAATCTGACAAAATTTTCTCAATATGTGTACATTATGAACAATGTATGAAATAAAAATTACGTTAAATTATATTAAATGATTGAATATATGATAGAATTAAGTGATGTAATGTTTTGGGGGGAGGAGGAAATGTGTTTGGGATAAAATTTCAAACATCTAGGTGATTTATTATATAAATGTTCACAATCGTAGATGGAATTGGACATGTCATCAGTATGATTGTAGTTTAGTATTTTGGCATATTGACTATAAGAGATTATTTGATATCTCGAATTATTGCACTAGTACACTTTGTGTATTGAACAGACTCATATTGAGGTTATTATCTTTTACTGATTTAATAAGATAATAAATACCTCATGATTATTATGATTGCTTATGTTCTTAATCCCAAAATATTTAATTGTCACGTGTATATAATATTTGTCACTTTAATTCGTCGAAGAGTGAGATTCATATTGGGTCAAGAAGCTCGATGAATTGAGAAACAATATTATTTGTATGGTGAAAATTAAATATTAAAGAAAACTACGTCCTAGAATTTAAATGGGTTGATGATGTCCTCTTGAGGAAGCTCATAAGTTTTGTCCATGTCAAACCTTGCAAGTGGATTTAATTATCCGACATGACAAATAATTTGAGTGGTAAGATCTTAAGGAATAAAAGAAGTCAATTAAATATAATTGTCAATGATTTTTTTAATTGATGGACATTTGTAGTCTTAAACGTAGGGAGATTATTAAGCATATAATAATAAGGAGCTTGAATATAATTTTGAAATAAGGCTCAGGAGATCAATAATAAGTCTTTAGTGGACTGAATTATTATTAATGGGTTGTAGGATGTTTGTTTTAGGTTGAACATAGGAATCCTAAGTTCATTGGAAGCCCGATTCTTATTTCTCTTTAGGGTCTCTGTCGTAGTCTATATATAGACATCTAGGTTCTCTATTTTAGCATCTTATCTTTATTCACATTTTTTAGGGAGGCTGAAAGAGAGAACAAGGATTCGAAGGTCTAAGCAACCCAAACTGCATTCGAATTCTAACATTGAGGGATATACGATAGAAGGCCGCGAGGTTCGTCGAGCTGTAGTCATTGTTTTGTTCTGCGTTCGTGCTGAGACAAGATCAGTCCCGAGAGATCTTGAAGATAAACCCTAATTCCGTCTTGTAAGGGTTTTAAAGAAAATTTTTTGATATTCGATACATACGCGCTGTTAACAGCTCTTGGGATTTCTGTTCCAACAGTTCCCAAGGAGTATAAAGAAAGAATATGACATAAAATAAAGGTGCAAAGTTTTTGAATTTATTTTATATTTACTAAGTGATTGTATATAGTTTTTGCATGTTATTAGTGGTTTTGGAATGGAATCATTGGCAAGTACAGATGCAAAAGAGTGGATGAAAGGATATCTAATGAAGTCTGTAAGGAGGAAGTGGAAAGACTAGAAGTGTGAGATTAATTGACTAGCTTACCAACTATATAGAACTGATGCGAAAAGATTAACTCACAACCCAGATTGAGTGGAGGAATCATATTGGCGGGCCTTGATCTATTATTGGAGTTCTCCAAAGCACAGATACAAATATGCAAGTGTAAATCTTGTCAATTGTAAAAGAAGTCATTGCTCTTTTTCTTTAAATTTGTATGATAAATACTTTTGGCGTGTAATAGGAAAAAAGTGGGAGGAACAAACACATTCGAATCAAGAAGAAATTTTATCACACCATTAGCCGAACAAGCTTTGCATGTGTTATGGAAAGGGTTTGTTAGAAAACAAGAGTGTTTCTAAAGGCTTTTGTTCAAGTTTATTTGTTGTGTCTGTTTTAATTGTAGGAAAAGAAAAAGAATAATGAGGAGAAAATGAGTCGAATTTAATTTTTTAAGGTTGCCTATTCAAAGAAAGATGATCAACCAGTTAATGATGTTGTTGCACAAGCCTTGGAATGTAATTTTGGTAGGACAAATGTTTACGATTTATCCATTCTTATTTCGTCTATGTTTCATATTTATTTAAAATTACTTTTTCTACAGTTAGACATCGATGAACTTGTGTCACAAATACCAAAGTCTTGCAGGCAATCTTTATTTGCAATAGATGAAGTTTTCACTCAAGTAATGGGACCAGAGCGACCTGGACGTGTTAGGACATATGGTTTGAGACCATTAGAAGAGATACAAGCAATGCCGTCCCAACTAAATGACCAATTGAGTAGACATAAAGATATGGAGGCTAAGCATTTAGAGATAGAGGCTCAACAAGCACAAATGGAGAAGCAGATGAGTCAAATACAACACATATTCAAAGCTAAGTTTGATGCTCAACAAAGACAGTTTGAGGCTCAGCAAAGACAATTGGAAGTTTTATTCGTTCAGATGCAAGCAATGGGTATGCCTATTCCCAAACCAACCGGCAGAAACATAAGTCCACTTTAGGTTGAAAATGTTATAAACACTTCAACAACTTATATTTTGAGTTATAAGAGTTATTGTATTGTTTTTCTTGATGAATATTAAGTATTTACAATCTTAAAAGGTACATAATGCAACTTGTGCTCATAATATAAACTGCCATTGATCATCGCTGAGGAGTGAGTCAAGAAGTCTGGCAGGGCGAGACACAGAGTTTCGAGGTCATTCTAGAGCCTCTTCTTCTACTTTTCATACTTTATCTGCTGAGGTGAGTCACTAAATGGATTAGTCCCTCAAATATTACGTGAGTTTGTTGACTGGTATTGATCTTGTTGTAGTTACTTTGGTTTGAATGAGGTTGATGGAATTTTGATGCTTGTTGGGTTTTATTTTTGGATTGAATGTGTTATTGGAAATTGTTTAATGGGATTATTGTCCTGGAATCCAGTCATTTGATACTCTGATAAAGCATGGCCCAAAATTGCTTCTTCCAGACCTGGCCTCCATTGAATATTAAATCTTATGCAGCAATAGTTTTTACAATTAATCAGCTTAGGTACTGTTCTCTTGAGATGAAAATGAGAAATTCTAGGTCACAACCTTTTCTAGTTCATCTTTTTCATGATCACTGTTGTGTCTTAGGTAGGTTCCTGAGACGAGACATAATAAGCTATGCTTTCCACAAGATATCATGTCTAACATTGAGATTCTAATATCTTTCAAACTGACCAAGAAACTAGATAAAACAATTAAGGAAATTGTTGGAGTAAAACATTGTTTAGGTACAGGTTTCTTAGTTTTTACTAGGATGCTGGTGGAGGGAGTGATCACCAATTACTCTCCAGTTGTTTTGAATCTAATTATATCATGCCTTTTTTGCCAAGTTTTCATGTTAAATTTTATTCCGTGGTTATGAATTTGCCCGAGGCTTGTAAATATAAAGGCTTGAAATATTAGGAAAGTCTACCTTGCTTTTATTCCATTAAAGTTAAAGATAGTGCATTCCTAGTTTGCTCAACATTTGGATGGCAAATGGATTCTGATTTGGAGACGTTGGGAAATTTACTTTGTACATGATATCCCATTTGGTGTTTGGTTTATCTACACCAAAAGATGGATCAGGTGTTAGCAAAATAAATACAACAAATTAGAATAGAAGGCTTTGATTGTCTATTCATTTTCCTTAAGGAAATTATGCCCCCACTATGTTGCTGTTGGGTTTGAGGCAAATTCCTCTAGGGTTAACAAAGCTAAATAGAATTTTAGATAACAAACTCTAAAATTCTCCCAAGAACAGAATAGGGAAACATTTTGTATATATATTTATTGAAGGATTTGTACAGGTATTTATAATATCTTAGAGATGCATTGAAGAAACACAATTCTTGGGCCAAAAGACATATAACAGTTAATTAGCACAAAATAATTAATACAAAAAGATGTTATTATGATTTTTCACAAAAAGATCCGTAGCCTTGTAAATGGCTTCATTCTCTAAAAGATGTTATTATGATTTTTTTTTGATACATCGGAAAAATATATAAAAAAACATTAAATAGAGTTCCTAGCAATAGCAACATTGGCCATATTTGCTAACAAAAAAAATAGCCAACTGAGGAGGGGGATCTTACAGCTCCACAAAAAAATCAGATTGTTGGACGCCAAGATTGGCCAACAGATCGGCACACTAATTGCTTTCTCTAAGTGTGTGGATAATGAGTATGTGATTACTCTCCATGAGCCTTCTACATTGTGAAATAACAACCCTGTTGGGGTGAGGGTCCTCCGAGTCCTTGTCTAGAAGCTTCCCATAAAAGCCAGCAATCCATTTTCCTTGATCATTTTTGATAATTCCATCAACACCAGCTGGGCCAGGATTTCCTTTTGGGCATCCATCGGTATTCAATTTGTTCTAGCCCATGTGAGGGAAAGACCATGCAATAAGACAAGAAGAATAATTAGTAGGTTCAATTTGAATAGTCTGAAAAGCCTTAACAGTATCCAAGGCTAATAGTCGCGCTTCCCTTGCAACTACACTAGACAGGGTGGTAATATCAGTAATACACTCTCTATTCCTATCCTGCCATATGCACCATGAGACACAAGCACACATGATGGGCCAGTTAATACCTTTCCAGTCCTTAACCTTCCTTAATTTGAAATTCAAAAGGATCCAATCTTGTAACCCACCTAGCTGATTAGAGTCCTATCCTTTGTTCAATTTTAAAAATATCCCACACTCTTTGGGCTTTTGGGCAATCGAAAATCACATGTGAGGAAGTTTCAATTGGGTGATGACATCTAGTGCAAGAAACATCACTAACCATATTCCTTGATGCTTTAAGGTTATTAGTGAGGAGCTTGTCATGTTGAACAAGGCACATAAATTGATTTCTATTGTGGGAGATTCAATTCCCAGACCCAGTTCCAGTGGAGAGAAGAGGATCCACTCCAGCTAGATTGAGAAATAAGATCAAACGCAGCCTTAGTAGAGAACTTACCATTACTCGAGAGACCCCAACAGATTGTATCTTGAAACTCTGAAGATAAAGACAAGGGGATTGTAAAATCTCAAGAATAATAGAGTGAGGAAGAAACATACCTGCCTCCTGGAGGTTCCAGTTGCCACTAACATCAATGTAATCAACCACCTTCTTGTTGAGATTAAGGAGATTAGGATGAGAAATCTGCTGCACTAGAGGGCCCTTACCCCACGACCAATCAGTCCAGAAGTTAATGTGTTTTCCATCCCCAATTAACTATTTTGAACCAAGGTCCACAATATTTTTAATCTTACCAATTGTTTTCCAAGTTGATGAGCAAGCAGTTTTAATATTCCAGTTAAAATTTTCTTGATCAACATATTTGCTCCTAACCATATCAACCCAGATAGCTTTCTCTCTATTTTTCACTTTCCAGCACAGTTTAGTTAGTAGGGCTAAGTTATTATCCCTGCTCTTTCTCACTCCTAACCCCCCTTCCTTTCTGTTAGAACACACCCACACCCTATTCCAATTCACTAGGTGGACCTTTTTTTTGTCAAGTATGTCTGCCCACAAAATTTTCTTATTGAGTCTATCAATCTGGTCACAAGTGGCTTGTGGTAGCCAGTTAGTTTGTATCACATGGTTTGAGATTGTTGAAGTAACAGCCTTAACGAGGGTGGTTCTACCAGCCAAGAAGAGGGACTTGACTTTCGACCCACTAAGTTTATTTTGGATTTTGTCAATAATAAACTTAAAATGCTCTTTAGAATATCTTTTGTGCAAAATAGTAACACCTACAGATTTTCCTAGGTCATTAGTGAGAGTTACACCACATTTCTTACTAAGGAACAAAGCATGGATTTTACTTATATTGGGGGAGAAAAAGACCTCAAATTTGTTCAAACTAATCTTTTGACCTGACAATGCGCAGAATTCTTCAAGCACTTCTTTAATTATTGAACAGTCTCTCTCAATGGCTCTTAAAAACAAAATAATGTCATCAACAAAAAATAAGTGAGTAATTTGGGGTCCCTTTTTAGAGTCTTTCACACCACACCATTTGCCTTCGTGAACTTTTTCAAGGATAAGTTGACGCAATCATTCCATACACAACACAAATAAGTGAGGATAAAGAGGGTCCCCTTGTCTCAAATCTCTTTTGGATTTGATTGGGTCTAGGGGAGAGCCATTCCATAGGATGGAAAGAGAAGATCTTGTAACACGGCTCATTATGATATCAACCCAAGATTGGGGAAAATTGAAGTGAAGCAGAGTATTATAAAGGAACTTCAAGTTGACTCTATCGTATGCTTTTTCTAAGTCAATTTTGATAACCATTCCCCCACGCTTCCCTTTTTTTCTCCATAGACAATGTATGATTTCTTGGGTTATAATGACATTATCAATAGTTTGTCTACCAGGAGTGAAGCTACATTGGTTTGGGCTAATTAATTTTTCCATAAAAGGTCTAATTCTACTCACCAACAGTTTAGTCAGAATTTTGTAAGGGACATTACACAGACTAACAGGTCTAAATTGGGTGACCTGTGTACGATTATCAACTTTAGGTATAAGAGTCACATAGGTCTTATTAAGGTCACAAGAGCAAACTTTGTTTTCTATCATATCCTTTATAAGATTATAAATAGAATCACCAACAATATCCCAGTATTTTTTTAAAAACAGGGCTTGGAGTCCATCCGAACTTGGAGCTTTCATAGGTTTTATGCTAAACACAACATTTTTAATTTCATTATTTAAAACAGGAGCCCCAAGGGCTTCTTTAACCTCGTTACTCAATTTTCTCTGGAACCTGAAAGTCCTCTAGGGGTATGGAATAGAGGTTTCACACCTCAAAAGATTATAGAAAAAATCCTGGACAGCCCTAGTTATTTCCTCCATATTCATTACCTAGTTCCCTTCCGAGTTTTTAATTGTCTGAGGTCTACTTTTTTTTCTTCTAGTTATGGTGGAAACATGAAAAAAGTTAGTGTTCCTATCCCCATAAGTAATCCATTTCAACCTGGATTTTTGATACCATAAAACCTCTTCCTGCTCCAGAATTTGGTTATACTCATGTTGGATTTTCTCCTCTAATCTAGTCAAGTTATGGGAATAATGTGAATCCTGGGCTTTTTGACTACCCTCTAACCTTGCTAAGATTCTTCTTTTTCTTCTAAATAGGTTACCAAAATAATTTCTATTCCATTCATTAGCAATAGTCCTAAAATTTGCAGAGGCTTCTAAATGAGAAAAATTATTAGTTCTCCAGGTCCAAGCAACCAAGTCTTTAAATTCAAGGTGTGACATCCACATAGCTTCCAGTCTAAACGGTTTAAACGGAGGAGGGGGTTAGAGAGATACCTTTCAATTGGATCAGCAGCAGACAATAATCTGAGTAGGTTCTAGGAAGATTCCTCACTCTAGCCTCAAGAAAATTGAACAGTCCAATCTGAATTCGCCAGGGCTCTATCCAGTATGATGTTAGTATTTGCAAGGCCTTTCCTCTTATTATTCCAAGTGAGTTTGGGGCCGCTG